CACACACACACACACACACACACACACACACACACACACACACACACACACACACATTTTTTGAAATATTAATATTTATTCCCTAAAGTTTAGATGATATTTATTCTTTTTCACTGTTATAACTTAACTAGTACTTAACGAAAAGTGACTTAATTATAGTGTTTTGGAAAGCTCTCGAGATGAGCTGTAAGAATGTGTAATAAGAAATAAGAGGTTCTATTTAAAAAATTAAAGGTGACCTTCATGTGACTTTCAGAGGACTATCCAAGGTCAAATCGATGGCACCATCTTATGTCCCCCTTCGAGTCAAACAACTTTTGTCTGAAACATTTTTGTCTACTGGGTTTAGTTTTCGAGATATTTGGCTGAATCATTTAAAATGGGACACCCTGTATATATAGATATGTATATACATATATATACATACACGGAATATTCTCCGAATATGTAACGATATGTGAATGGTATATATTTTATAATTATTTGAATATTGTTTTTATATTTTGCAAATGACGAATAAATCCCGATAAGTCAAAACAAACTTGATTGCAAGATATAATTAAAGATTTTAATATTCATTAAACGAATCGCTTATTTAGACAACTGAAAATATTTTAGGATATAGATACTGGAATATTTTTTAAATGTTACTTTGGGAGACTTTAGAAACATTTTATAAATATTTCGGAAATATTTATTAAAGTATTAGTTGGATCGTTATGATATTCTGCATACCGATTTCACAAATAAACAAATTGGGTTGCGCACAATGATCAATCTCAATGGTCTGATATGTAAACATCGTGCATTGATCCACGCGTTCTAATTGTTGCACCCATACACGCTCTGAATAATCGAATCGCTCCTGTTGCTTACGCGCGAACTTCCAGAGTTCCAGATAATCTCCCATGATGAATGGCATCGACGCATTTGCCGACTGCGTAAAAGAAAGACAATTTAACAAATAATATGAAATAAAGAACCATGAGAGACTAAATACAAGATATTGAGAGACACAGATTAAATATCATACATCTAGTTAGAATAACTCACCCTGCAAAAGTCTCGCGCATTATAAAAGTCCATCGGTGCGCCGATCAATATGTAACACGTGTCACCAACGAGATCCCAGGCGGGTGGACACTTGCCACTTAATACCGATTTATTATTCATATGGAAAGGCTGATAATCTACCTGTAACAGCTCAAATGAATCTTCACGGTCTCTGATGCGTCCAGCCACCGCTAAGGTTTCATTGTAACCCCACCAATTGTGCCGCGCGTCTATGTGAGATCTCCAAATTTCCAGCTGTCTAAATAATTTGTTTAATAAATGTTAAAATTTTTAATTAATTATCTTGCGATTAAATTCTTTTGTTTTGTCTTACTGAGATTTGTTCGTCGTTTGCATTTCATAATCGTTGTCGGGATTAAAAAACACATTATCAACATATTGCTGACCGGGTGTACCAGCAATAATAGTGCTGCGGCCTTCACGATCGACTGCGTAGTTTCTACAAAGTTATAAATATTCATTTTTTCCGATTGCACTTAAATAATTTTATAATATTCTATAACATAAATAGCTTTCGCACGTAAAAATAAGGATAAACGATAAAGAAACGTAAAGCAGGAAGACATAAAAAAATAAACGAGTAGCTCACTTGTAGAAGCCGTTGTGAGATGTGCTTTGATAGAATTGTGAACGGACCTTTTCGAATCCCGAAATCTCCAATAAATGCATACCAAGGTTTCCATGCAAGTAATTGAATGTCACGTTGCTGACCACTTGCTTCAAAATGATGTTATTGTCATACGGAGCGTTATTCTTGGTGAAATAATTTCTGAATATAGTCATCTGTTGATAAGGACTACTCTGACGACCCTCAACGAACCTGAAGATCCACAGCGTCACTACTGATTTTTATAAACATTATAACACTGTACTTACAGTGCAGGTTTATTGAAGTTTTCTGTGAAGAGATTATTATGAATCCATCCCTTGAGGGACGTTGCCGTACCGCTCGAATCGGCACGAATTGTAAGACCGCCTTGATTTCGTTGTACTAAATTGTTCTAGAACACGGTTTTAAATGATTAGATATCTCATCATGTTTTGAGAACGTTATAAATTAATCATGCCTATTTTTACATACACTATCTATACACACACACTCGTCAACAACATTATCTCAAGATTTTTCACAGAGTTATGTATACTTACGTAAAGTTATGCAAAATTTTGGTATAAATTTATGTTGTGATAATTTTGTTGACGAGTGTGTGTATATATAATATGTATATCGATATATCAAGTATCAGATGATTCATTTTAATTTTAACAGAGGCAAATATCTTGAAAAATATGGAAAATATGGAAAAATGTTTCAGATAAAAGCTATATGGTTCGGAGGGGGATATAAAGTACCATTAATTTGATCTCGGGTGTCATTAAGATCAGGCCAAGGTTATTTAAAATTGTTTTAAATATAACTTCCCATTTTTCATTACGTATTCTCGCGCATACCCTAAGAGTTTTTTAAAACGCTTTAATAAAATTGTTTTTCATTAAGAACTTTTCGAGTTAAGGGGATGCTGGAGCTACGGCTCAACTCCATCAAGGTCGATAATATAGATTTGCTGAAATTTACATCAGTACGCTTACGCCCTCTGGGAGCCATACAGCGCATTTCCGCATATCGCATGCTATCGCATGCCTACCACATAGCTCCTACTCACTCTAACGAGTGTGTTCGAGCATTTGACGCGACAGCTAGAAAAATATCGCGTTATAAGAGATATAT